GGTGCGTCGGAAATGTAGTGAGGTTATTCACCACAAGTCCATTCATCTTGATTTGAACCTTTGAACCACAGCATCATAAACTTCACCAGAAATATAATAAAAGGTTACAAGTCTGTCATGAACATAGATGACAACCACGTTCTGAAACCTTGCCGGTAGAAGACATTTGCAAGGTAATTAAACTGTCAACAGAACGAAACATTGCAACCAATCCGGAGACTATGAGTGATGTAATGGATAAAATCTTAACATCATATAAAGAAAGGAAAAAAAGAAAGGAAAAGGTGTTAAAAACATTATAAACAAGTGAAAACAAACAAAGGGGTTGTCTTCAACTATCCAACATCCCATTTTAATATTAGAAACGACTGCTGATAGTTTACCTGCAAAATAGAATCCATTTGTAAATGTTCATTTCGAGCATCACGACGTTTGGGGATAAGTTATAGATTTTAAATACAGGGTACACCCAAGAATTTGGCAAAGTAAACAGGGGCCATACAAATAAAAATTAACGTAAAAGTAACGTAACAGGGGTTTTAAACACAGAAACAGGCAAAATGAATACTGATACAGGGATTAAAGCATACACACTTATATAGACCGAGGGAAGCTGATAAAAGGGGCAGTTACCTGAAAGTTACAGTTTAAATACTTGCAACGCCAACAGGTATTGCCAGGAAACTGCTTATGAAAGGATAAGGCACACACACACACTCATACACGCGAACGGCGACACTATTTATATGTTACAAAATATTATATATATGACTTATAACGGTACCTTGTATCACATTCGTGTTCAATACAGATTGTGTGTCACACAGCAAAGTCTTTTAATGACAGAGTGTTTTCAAGTTCTAGCAATAGTCAAATGTACAACTGAGAAACTTCTAGGCAACATCTCTTCACTGTCGAAGACAAATGATGATAAAACACTTGTACTTGTACTTCGCACACCACCATTGCTCATGCCATGGCTCAAACTGCTAATGAAAGTACGGAATATCATCTAATACATTGCAATGACTTCAGGTGAAAAAACCTTAGAGGAAGGAATTGTCCCCGTGATCACTATTTTGTTCAGCACATAATGTTTAAATTGAACAATTGAACATATCATCGGTATACCAGTTTAGGTTATTAACACTTTCTATCCTAGTCCAAACTTTGGCCTTTCTCACGCGGTCCTTCTTGTCTTTCTACTAAAATGTTAATGTAAATAGCAAGAAGGAAAATAGCAAATATATATAAAAATATTAGACTAATTTATTCAATGAAAAAAAACAAAATTAAATCAAAATGAAAAACAAGTATCTCTTCAACATCGCATCAGAATTGTCAGGTGGTTTGAGCCTGTCAAGTTCTGTCGGTTTGCCAGTTTAGAAAAAGGAGTTAGTAATGGTTGTGTATATAGTGAAGACGTCGAACGTTTTATCATCATTTTTCATCGAATATGAGACAAATAAGGTGTTCAAGATAACACTTGGAAGTTTTCTTTTTAACAATTGACTTCTTTCGGAATTTGATAAGTGTCTAATATATGATCCACGATCTGTATTTATTTATCCCATCAATTCTGCAATACATCAGGCCCCTGTAAATAGTGCTTCCGTTAATGAAACATGTATGTAAGCGAGTGTGCTTGATCCCTGCGAAACTGTACCGATATCTGTGCGTCTCTTCCAAACTATAAGTTGTTTCTTTCAGGCAAAACGTCAGTGTACGCAAAACAGGACATATTGAAATAAAAATTTGAATATTATACAATGTATCAATTCCAAAAGTGTTTGTTCATGTGTCATAAATGCATACAATATTATTTACAATTGCCTTGATTTCCCACATAGAAAACATAAGAACAGCAACTGTGTTTACATGCCAATAAAATTGGTCAAGAACGTGACCTCGCCGGTGGCGTAACAATTGGCGTAGGAATACACGTACATAAGTTAAAGGTCGCCAAGGCCCATTCAGGTTTACAAACAAAAACCACGTGTTGGTATCATCAGCCAAACGAGACATCTAAATAATGTTAAAAAAAGTTTGTAAAAACTGGGGGGTTTTGTAATTGTTTTTTTTTTCTAGACTCTAAAGATGATACTTATTAAAAACAAAATAAAATATAACGAGAAATCTGTGTATTGAGGGTCGTCTGCTAAACTTGGACACCTGCCAGTTTTAAATGTCGGTAACTAATTGACCGAATGATGGCTGATGCATTTGGTAATTTCATACTATCTCTACCAGAAGAAGATAGTGTTGTAAAGGACTTGTTAGACTTCGATTTTGGAGACGACTTCGACACCTTTTTATCAACACTCCAAGCCTCGGACATGATGCCAGTTGTAGGTCGCGAAGTTTTGAATATTGTAGCAATTTGTGGACTCTCCCCACCGGAGACTCCTTCCTCCTCCAAACCCATTGCAACAAATCACACGGAAACAGGTTCACCATCATCCAAAACAAGGTTCAAGATGGTTTCAGCAGATGATATGAGGAAATTTGACGACATGTATTAGTCAGATGCGACAAAGAGAAACACAAAATGGGACATAACGATTCTAAAAGGTAAACAATAGACATGCATGACATATAAACTAACCGGTAAATATGAATATATTCTTGTAAATGGCGTGGTGCTATCATACAGTAGATCGACTGCTGGTCAAGTTGAGTAACACAATACAACACTGCCATTGCAATGCAGATAAATTAATACAAAATATCTATCAATTCATTGCCATTATTGATTGAGTATTGAATTACCCGAGTTTGCCAACAAACTCACTAAGTTTTATTGTGAAGCAAAGCCAAAAGAGAAACCATCCGTTTAGCAATTTGGTTTCTCACCTCCATTAGGTTTTTGAGTCGAGGATTAGAGTTCCATTTCCAATTAAACATCGATTCATTTGTCTTCAAACATGACGAGAACGGTGTTAAATATGCATGCCTTTCAACCGAGAAAAGGCAAAAACAACTGGCAGGGATGTCTTTCCAATTATGAGCCAATGGCCGATAAACGTATGTACTCTACTAACATATCGTTATGTCCCGTCAGACTGTTGACAGATTTATTAATAAAACCGATGACAACACTGCACGTCTGTTTTACACGTGCGTGAAGGAAGCCTTGAATTCGCTGGTGACCCAATAAACGTGGTATACTAATAAAGCCCTGGGTAAATCTACCTTCACCAACTTCCTCTCAGACATCTGTAAACAGGCAGGCTGTTCAAAACGCTATACCGCCCACTGTTTACGAGCATCGTGTATCAAACGCATGTCTAATGCGGGCTTCGAAACAAGAAAAATGTGTTCATATCGGGTCACAAGAATGAGGCAAGCGTGCGTAGCTATAGTCGAGACTGCTCCAATGCCAAGAAACGGTCCATTAGTGCTACACTGACATACATGAGCTCCGGCCACAACACCTCGACAATTGACACCTCTGTCTCGGCAATTGACACAAATCCTATGTCTGTTGTCCAAAATCATGCGACAGTGACGCGTCCAAATTTACCTTCATTTCTCTCCTCAAAAGTGCAATCAACGTCAGGGATGCTTACAAACTCGAGTTTTTCCAATTGCACGTTTAGCATTAAAATGTAGGCTCGGTTCATTTCCCACCTCGTCGGTGAAGCTGCATCACAGTAAAACTGACATTCTACATCCGCGTCTTGTTAAGTTTTGTGTGTTTGTAATTGTTGCGTAGAAACAATTGGATTTTTTTTTAATAAAAAACATAAAGATATTAGTATAGCACACAATCTGTTACATTTTTAAAGAATTAAATAAAAGAGTTGCAATAGAAAAAACTATTCTGTTTTGTTTCGAAGGGTGAAGAGTGGGCGAAGTCTAGCTGTCTGAGCAGCTGTTCACGCATTCAAACGAATGCATCGTCACTTTCACTTTCGTATTTTACAACTTTGAAATGGCGTAACTAACGGCTTTCTTAATGTATTGTTTTGAAGGTAAAACAAACTGTAAATAAAAAGATTATCTTTTAACTTTTCTTTGTTTATGAGGTAATAAATCAAGTCGAGTACGCTGTAAATCACACACGAACGCGAATTACCGTGTGCTCGACTTGATTTATTACATGTACCTCATAAACAAAGAAAAGTTAAAAGATAATCCTTAAAAGTATCATCCAGTTTTCTATTCTTTATAAGGTGATACTACCAGCGTTAAAAGATCTAGAAAGAGAACGCGAAATACTATCAGGATCACGTAGGTTTTTTAACAGGTGAAGCTGTAACCTGAAAGGGATTAAGCGATACATCTTCACAGAAGATGTATTAAGAATTTATTCTTAATTGAAAGTCTCCATGTAACCATAATCAGCATAGAATAAAGCCGTTGTTCAGTTTAATTACCATCAATGATTGATTGTGATAGATATTTATTGTTCTGGGGTTTAGAAGAAGAAAGCATGATGGATGTAACTTGTATCTAATACAACTCCAACATTTCCGGCGTACTGTATGTCCCCTCTAATATTCTAGTTAAGATAAATCTATCTTAGGTTTTCTTGTTGCGACGCGAGATAAAACTGTGTACATATTGTACAATTAACACAAAGTTCCTAACATAAATGTACAGTCGTTATCATGAAATTACATTAGGTATCTTTATACTTTTCATTTATATTGACATCTCCAAAGTTTGTTCTAATTTTCTTCCATCGGCTGTGAGATGCGTATTAAAGATAACACCTTATTTTCTATTTCACTTCCAACTTTCCTATCCTGTTAATTTTATTATATAATTTTGTACATTCTTTCTCAAAAGATTCAAACATTACAAATATATACATTCTAACTTTGCATTGAATAATAAAAAATATTATGACAGCCTATTTTTTAAGTGCAGAACAAAGAAAAGAATGACAATATCATATGTATATATACGATAAGAGTTTTATTAGATAAACGTTATGAGGAATATGAATTTACAAATGAATATATGCATGAAGTCGTTAACATGGATTTTCTTTCTTCGGCCACATGGATCTGAAAAAGACAAACCATGAATGAGTAATGAATCAACAATTCATGTAATTATTGATGTTTTTCACAACAGATAATGTTCTGAAACCCGTCCGTTTACTGAGAAAACAAAATAGTTTCATCTTTTATATCAGAGCTTTTTTACTTTATTTTGACTCTAAAACAACATAATTAATTCAAAAATATGATGTTAAATTATCTCAATATTATATTCTTATTGACTCATAAGAGCTGGTTCAAAAATGTAATGAATTTATAATTTTCATTATCTTGACACATATTTCATCCATGTGTGTATTCATATTTCTGGTAAAAAATACAATATTTATAGGGTTTTTTTCTCGGACCAATTTTTGTGCAGAAAATTGAGATAAATACCTTTTTCCATAATTGTTTGTCTCTACATCAATATTGCCTGATCTGTCTCCGTCTGTGTGCTATTCTAACACGAGACCTTCTGCCTCCCAACATGTCTCCCCTCCGGTCTCCCCACCTGTCTCCCAACCTGTCTCCCCTCCAGTCTCCCCCCCTGTCGCTTCCACGTCGGTTCCAATCTCTTCCAAAGCTATCCCTGTTCCAACGATCGTTTTCCAAGTCCCAGCTATTTCTTCTTCTATTTTCAAACAAGGAACCACGACTTCCTCCGTAGGTTTCTGTAATTATTCCAATTCAGAATTCCTGACACAGGTTGTTGAATAGTTTGAAACGTGTTTTGTATACGTTTTCAGATGACTGTATTCATCTACGTAATTATTTTTTTCAAATTGTAACAAACAGTAACTAACATTAATGCAGACAAACTATGTATGATTTAATCAATCTATGTATCAATTGTGTAGATTGCAGTTGTACATTATAATATAACGCACGGTTAGTAAAAACTCGAACAAAACAAAATAGCTTCAATATTTCTATAAACAAACAAATGTCATTTTAGACAATAAGCTCTGTAAAACTTAATTTCTAAGTCGTAAAATTTACGACGGATCATGTATAAATATTGGTAGACACACAAGGAAAATTAATTTGCAAATGCATGTTGTTAAAATTAGAACTTTGGTGAAAAAGAAAGCAATATCTATCAAGAAATATTATTTTTATTCGGAAACATGGCCTATTTTCAAAACTGACTTATTTTCGAAATATGTTTGATTGAAAGGAATTCAAGGCTCTTTTTATGTCTAGCCTTTTTCGAAATTTTAGTAATACAATATATTTAGCACATGGTAATGCAGAGTGGAAGTGCATGGATAAAGACATGCTGAGGAAAGTGATTATACCGATAATACTTACGACATAAGACACAGGCCACTAGACAGGACAGTACGATAAGCTTCAACATCTTCAGTTGATTGATTCTGTAAATGAAATGTGATTACTGTCAAATGAAATATTGTTAACATATGCCATTTGATTTTTTTTGTAAAATGTTCGCATCGATATACATTCATAATAAGATTTACCCGACTACAGTATTGCATCAATGACAACATTACATATTTTACTATATCATCGTATTATAATTTGCTGTGATCGCACATGTCAATATTAGAAACACTTACCTGGGCCAACGCTTTCGTTCACACTGGTTCAGTCTGTGTCAGGGCAGGTTGTATTGGAGAATAAGGTATGACCTCTTTTATACACAATATGACGAGGAAATATATTGTAATTGTTATTCATTGTATTTCCTCAATCATTTTAACAAGTTCGCGTTTATTACGTATATTAGCTGATGTAGTTTCCCTATTTTACCAATGACGTACATGTCGATGATAGGACGACTTTGGAGAGTAGGAGTTTATGGGGATGACAAATATCAAGTGTTTATATGCATATAATTCATTTACATAAAAACGTAAGTCTTAATGCTAATAAATCGTTGTTTTTTGTTCCCAATTATTGTGATAGATATATCTTGCACAATATTCGGTTTAGCTCATTATATGGTATAGAGATTTTTTTAGGAAATCGTGCAAAGAAGTGCGATTCGCTATTTAGGATTTCAGACGAAAGCACTCAATAAATACACAACAAAAACATAGTTACTGTTGCATACTTAATAAATGTCGTAACACAAAATCAATATCTAGAAGCAAGATACCACATTTGTGTATTAATAGGTGTAAGTACATGTACTAAACATAATTTTGTTGAGGTATATATACTTGATATTGTACATATTGCTGTATATCAGTTGAATGTTTATTTGGCCATACTCAACATCTGTTGAAATTATAAATTGGATTTCATTAGAAACGATACGTTAGCTGTTTAACATGAAGTAAATACAAAATGGGCGCAAACGGCCTCGTTGATCGCAATACATTCAAAACTCTCAAATATATCAAAATGCTTTGAATTAAAATACATCAAAAGATTTTCTGTCCCGCATTGTATAAATAGAAAGTGTATGTACGCACATGTTCGTTGTCAAAGGTAAAATTATAGTACAGGTGACTGATATCTATTAATGTATGGTATAGCTCGGGGCGGTATCATAACCATAACATGAGACTCAAATCATTGACGTCATTACACACACAGATATATGTGGTCATCATTCGCGTATAACCAATTGTTGCCTATGTGGTAATTATCTGTGTTTTATAATATCTGCCGTTGCAAAAATAAAATAAATCAATTAGGAAGATGATAACAATGTGACCTTATCGCTGCACATATATAGGAGTAGCAACTGTTCTTTAAATTTGGATAGTTCATTCTTTTACTATTCGCTATCAACAAAAGACATATCGCATCTCTTTGAATTTCCTGACTAAATCATCACTACAGATACTTACACATGATAAGGTGTAGTAATAATTATCCTGATTGTAAAGGTCTTTTTTTTCCAAATGATCCTTTACAATTTTTTGCACTTACCAACATCACGCACACATGTACTAAAATGTGGCAGTGTGTTTGACACAAATAGTGTTTATAGTATCCATACATGTAGTCTGCTTTTTGTAAAACAGTGCATGTAACGTTAGGTTACCAGGAAAGCAGATACATATGTGAATCATTTTTAATATTTGTATAAGTAATTAAGAAAAAAAACAAATGTTTGAGTTAATTCAAATGGGTGGTCTGACGCAAAGCACAATCGCCTTTAATCAAGACGTGAAAAGATAGTCGATCACCTGTCCGACCATTTCGTACTTCTCCGGGTATTCCGGTTTTCTGCCACATTTAAACCCTCTGCTCGCTTCCATCTAGGCCAACATGAGTGATGAATATGTTTGAAGACTTGTTTCATAATTCATGTAACAATGATTATATTAAAAAAAGTACAACGTATGTTAACATTGTAAATCTGTCATCATCACTGTCTCCTACTCTATCGAGGTCACCCTATCGACATGTACGTCATTGGTGAACTAGGGAAAGTCCATCGGCTATACTAGAGTGCGTTGTTCTGTGTATATTCGCAATAATGCGAACTTGTGAAAACTATTGAGGAAGTACAATGTATAACAAGTGCAAAGTATTTCCTCGTCATATTGTGTATAAAAGTGGTCATACTTGGTCCTCCATTACAACCTGTCTTGATACAGACTGTAGAGGTGTAACATTTAGCGGCTGACAAAAGTAAGTCTCTTAGAATGAGATTAAGTCCTTGAATGGCTCAACTTTATGTTTTCTCAGTGGTTCATGTAGCTAGTAATAATATGATGACAAAGTACAATATCTAAGTTTACCTTGTCATTGCTATATTGATGTAGTCGGGGATACCATATTATCAAAATATATCAATGTGAACATTTCACAAGATATTCAAAGTAAAATTGTATATGTCAACTTTATTTAATTAAAAAGTATTCAAATTCCGCTTACAGAATCAATCAACTTAAGATGTTGAAGCTTATCGTAATGGCCTGTCTAGTGGCCTGTGTCTTGTGCCGTAAGTATAAACTATACATTAATTTATTTCAACATCGATTTAGCCATGCACTTACAAGCTACACTGTATATAACCATTTTTTAATGTTTAAGGAATGGAATTAATGTTTTCATATGTTAATATGCTTACACGTTATATAGAATACAATTATCAAAGAAACAAAATGTTAAGACCTCATGAATGTTGGAAAAAATTAAATTCCGTGTAATTACATTTTTAAAGATATTCTTGCATATATAAATATATATAATATAAATATTGTTTAACTTAGGGGCACCGCAGTAGGTAGAACAGTGTGTTGTTTGGTGGGAAATGTGAAATTTCTGAGCAACAATATGAAATCAAAACAAACAAAATGTTTTCGGTTTTTTTAATTAATTTGTAGAATATTATACGTTATATCTTATCATCATTTATATTTAAATAGCTTATTTTCTATTTAACATGAATTAAGTTATATTTAATGTTTATTTATAACACCACCATAACAATGCCATAAGGACAGCTTCACGTTGGGCGGTAACGAACTACGCTTGTACGGCGTAATACTCCAAAATGTTTATCAATACACACTATGAGGTTACTTGCGCTATGGAAACATAAATGTCATTTTTATCAATTGGTCCAAACATACAGTGTCAATATATCGTAATAAATAAACTTGTATTTAATATAATTTCACCGTCATACCGAACCCTTCTGTTATGTATATTTCATTAAAAGGACATAATTCAGCAAAAGTCGAAACAATAACTTCAGGTTCAGTATCTACATATTTATATATAAGGCGTATTTGTGTTGAGCTTAAACGAATCTTGCGTTATGTTATAGCGTGATGCAGTACTAATAAAACTGAAAATAATTACAGTATTTCTTGCTATATATATGCTATTTGATACTTGCAAAAATATTCTTTTAGATGAATAAAATAAAGATAAAAACAAATACAAGCATGATTCAAACGAAGTATCCACATTTTGCAGTTCAGAAGTGTAATTGAATGAGAATATTTTCAGGATCATACGGAAGCAGGCGTGATTCCTTGTTGTATGACAATATCAGAACAGGCAGTTGGGGTTCAAGTTTGGATAGTTGGGGAAACGATCCTTGGAACAGTGATATCTATGGGAGCGACTGGGACCGACGTGGAGGCGACATGTGGGGAGACAGGCGGGCTGGTGACAGGATAGTAAACAGATGGAGATCCGACAGGAGATACTGATGAAGAGACATTAAAAGGTATACATTTCTCAATATGTACAAAAATTGGTCCCAGAAAAAAACTTACAAAATATTGAAAATTACATTTAATATGACATATTCGTTCATTTCTAAACATGCTCTTTGCAGATATATATGATCTGGATTTCTTGTAATGATCACTTTTTTTGAAACGGAAATAATAGTTATTATGAATGAAAGTTAATGTTAAAACAAAATGAAGTGAACACAAGTGAAAATCATTTGATATGAATAATAATACAAACACAAAACAAACTGAACAATAATATAGTATTATAAATGTATATTTTGATAAATAAGAATAATACTTTCTCTCGTGCACCTATTATGACGTCATGAACATATCGCCTAACTCAAAATCATCTGATGTCACTGTCTATAGTGTCTCTCAAATAAGGAGCTTTTTGGCCATTTAAGGTTGTATCAAATATGATATACATGTCTATTTTCTTTGTAAATACAATTTATATTTAACATGATTCTTGTGGGAATCTTCTTTTGCAAGACAAAAATACGAGGAATAGCCAATATATCATAATTACTAAATCATTACTTATTCGTGGTTTGTCTTTTTCAGATCCATTTGGCCAAAGTTTGGAAAATCCATTTATGTCCCATATTCATTTGTAAATTCATATTCCTCATATCGTTTTGCTAATAAACATTTTTTTTTCTTATATATACATATTATATTGTGTATGTTTTCGTCTTGAGCTGATGAAATAGGTTGCCATAATAGTGTTGAGTTAAAATGTATACGTAAATAATGGTGGAATCTTTTTAAGTACAAATAATGATGTAATAGCATTAACGAAAAGAATAACTTTTGCCTTAGTCGGAAGTAAAAGATAGGATAACATTCCAATAAGCATCTTACCGTCATTAATATATTAACATTCACATGACTGTACATACTTTTCCTGCAGGAAATATGATCGTATAATTCAAGTTTGGTAGAAAAGCTTAAATTTATGAACCACAGGTTATATCAATCATGATTTCAACGCAAGTACATATATTTGTCACCAGAAATCTCACAAACGGTGTTCAAGATTTTAATTGAAATTGATGACGACCGCGATATGAAACCTCTAAGACTTAAAGTGTAGCAATGAATGAAATGTAATCACCATAGAAATATAAACTTTATTTATATTACAACAATTATGACACAAGTTATTTCAACTTATATTGATCCCTTTTGTTGTCGATACACTGTACAATGCTATAGACAGGGAAATACAGTTTTATAAAATTTATAAACAAAACATTACTATGTCTGAAACTTCTCAAAAGGCCGTGTTAATATCTGACACGACTGCTGCTAGTTTGATTGCCAAGTCAAGCCTCTATGAGAATTACCTTTGTGGGCATCACAACACTTATGGACAAATACATCGCTATTAAATACAATGGACATCTACTAAAATACTTGCCAATATGAACAGTGGCCATACAATTAAATATTGACCAGGAAACAGAGTCACAGGCGTTGAAAACACAGAAATACGACAAAGGAACACTGATACATGTCCTAACATTCATATAGACCGAGAAAGTTGGTACAAAGTAAAGATATAAAATAGATATGCATGAAAATAAAGTTTATATAGTGGCAGAAATGCATAGAGATGTAGGTCAGAAAACAGTTTATTGAACGTAATGCAGGGAAGACAAATATCGTGTAAACTTTGTAAGTAGAAAGAAAATAATGCAATTTACAACTGACCATAGCTATTGCATATTGTTATGATTTCTGGAAAATATATCGGATGATCTGATCAACCTATGAATTATATATAATTACCTTCCGTCGAACGACCAGCAACGGAGCAATCGACATCGTTGTGTCAAACAAACTTTTTAAATTTTAATTTGACATCGAAGACAAGGTGCATATGTCAAACTAGGTAACTGTAACCTGATACTTGACTCCTCAAGACATACTTGCTCATCAAATTTAATCATCTTACACGGGACCAAGCTAACGACTAGGTGAATAGGGAGTATATATTCGAGTTATGTGAATTCGAGTAAGCGTGGTTACACAAAATATGAATGCATGGTATAACAATTTAACTTGCAATCGATATATCAAAGTGTGGTGATCGGATACATTAATATATATACAATGTACATGTCTAATATTGCAAAATTGCTCTTTTTCGATAAAGCTTATTGTTTTTTTTAAGAAATAGCATCCAAGATTTCGTTTAAACTATAATCACTCATAGAATCTGAAAAACTCGTTTGACGGTTCACACTCAGTGTGGATATCAATATATATAGACAATAAATATCAAACAATAAGAGTTTTTAAACATGTAACTGTGTCAATTAGGAAATGTAATAACACGATAATACTTGCAGGATCCTACGGATAAGGATTGTTTTGGGGTAAAATCAGTAGAAATGGGTGGTATACAGGCTTTTATCGTTAGAGAAACGATTCTTAGAACGATGATATATATGGAAGCGACTGGAACCGGCATGGACACGGCATGTGTAGAGATCGACAGACCCGTGACCGGATATGGAGCGGACGATGGTACGAGAGATAATACTGATATAGAGACAAACATGTTTAACAAACAAATACAAAAAAAAAAAGAATTTGAAACATCTTTTTATATTTATGATTACCTTTATGGATGATGCATGTGTAAAGTTGTAGATAAGAAAAACAGGAAAAGACAGCTGTGGCGGAAGTAAAAGGGGAGGCGTTGGTGTGCCTTGACAATGTGAAAATACATTTTGGGAAAAGAAAAATAACGGAGGCCTCTTGCGTTATGTGTACCTTAGCACCCATTCACAATTGATAGACAATGTGACCAAAACAATATAATCGTTTGAATTAGACTGTTTGTTTTGTGCACGCTAACATTTGTCACGCGATGCCTTTATGTCTTGATTTCACAACAAGCAGCGTCTTTTATCATTTCTGACCCATTTTGTCTATTAAACCTGGATATATTTGTAAAGTATTTCTACTTTCAGTCGCCATTTGGAGTCACAATTCGGTCGACAAACCATAAACGATAGTCAACACATGCAATTAGCATTTGACATATTTACAAACAATATTTTAAGTCACTTTCGCGGTAAGTTCAGCGGAATATTCTGAACATGAGCTTGACAGGTTTTAAGTAAATCTGGAGGTTAAATAGAGTTTTTTTGTCTGCTACCTAATATTCAAATGCATATAAATTAAATGCGGTCACCCTCGTTCGACAAATGAACAGTCCCACGTCTCGCTTATTTACCGATAAATTTGCAGAGGAGTTTTTTGAGAGAGCGCTGGTCTGTTGGAAAATGATACACGATCGCGCATGGTCTATCGTCCAATAATCCATGGCTATTAACCAACTAAAAGTATCGTTACATTGCAAACGTTGTAGAATAGTCAGTGATTTGTAATAAAAGTCCCTATTTTCATTTTCTAATTGTGATATTTAACATGGATCGTTGTTTACCTACACCTTGGACGTGAGACAACATGCCTGGTACTATAACTGATTCAGATAATGTCGGATTTGTACTTCCTATCGGTATTGTTTGTTGTTATATTTTAGGATATCGACTTTGATTAAAGGCGCATCACGGTGAAGTGACTTTTTTTTGTCTTTTTTTTTCAAATACTGCATAAACATATCAATTGAGAGTCCTTATGGAAAATAACGATCGGATTTGGCTGAAATAGATTCATAAAAATGATTAAATCTTAGATAATCATCGGTATTTCTACCTGTCTGACCAACGTTTGTTCAGGGATTTCCCTCTACTAGCGCATGCGCATAGCACACCACTTCTTTGTAAACAAAATGACTGGCCGTGTGAAGTTAGCGAAAGAAAAGTGTTGTTCCGTATCAGCTACGAAGCGAAAAGTTGCCAAATGGTCAAAAGAAAGCGCAAGAAGTATGTTACGGAATCATTATTCAAAGAAGAAAATAACTGCCCTAGCAGTTAGTACGGTGCATGTATTCTCCCGGATAGCTGGTTAAGCTGAAATAGAATTGACAAAAATGCTAGCGCTGTTTCTGTTATGAATAAATATCTGAAACTATTAACCTCGCTTATATCTTTGTCTGAGTTTGAACACAGGTGAACTTAGTTTAATATGTTAATGGGCATGTATCGGAGAGAGTTTACTTTGTGTTTCTATAATTATACAGTGGTTAATGCGAAAGGAAGGGATAAGTGACTAGTTAGTTTGATTTTGCCATGAGGCCCTCCAAGAGATAACTGTTGTGATGGCCACGGCGTATTCTGTTATCTCCTCTGTCGGTACTCGGGGTCATATGAGATACGTGCGCTATTAGATTAAGATTTAACTATATTGTTGAATTAAGCGGTGGGTTTTTTTGGTTTTACATGCAAGATTTGAATTAGTACTAATATGAATACCCGGCCTCCTCTGGCGCGACGACGCAATATATATAAAAAAAACTCTTCGTCAGAAAGCTACATTATCGCAGCTAGATTAAAAATGTCAAATGACGGACCAGGATGAATAACTGAGGAAGGATAACCTACTTCTAATAAAAAGTATCGTATATGTTTTTTGTTTTTAAATCCTAATTTTTCAACAGTTCATGTTTTCATATGATGTTGACTTAAAATGTATGATCATGTAACAACCTTCTCTATAAAGAATAAATTTTCGACTGCAGATAGAATCGAAATACGTATTGAAAACAAGAGGAAAACATTTGTTTACGTTGTAAAAATGACGTTTGCTGCCGATAACTACGGCTTCTGTATCGGACAAAAAAGAAATTATTAAAGAAAAGTTGTCACAACAGAAAAAGGGTCGTTTACAAGAATGCTTTAATCTATGTAAATAATTGAAATTTTTTAATCATCAAGTATCTCAACACTTTCCATATCTGACACATATTCTACATGTACACGTAGTGGCATTGCCATATAGTTTATTGTGTGTGATGGCTAATATGACTTACTAAGTGACAGTGAAAGTGGGAAAGAGAATATACATAAATGTATATGCATTGTCGAGGAAAAAAATTGGCCAAAGACATTGAGTTGTACAATGTAATACAAAAAATCACAAACATTTCTCTTTTTTTATACGCGTGTAGTTTGTCATTGCATATATGCAATTTATGAAAAAAATTGGAAAAGGGAAATTCGTCTCGGGAATATTCCTTTTTACAGAAAGGTTTGTCCCATGGTTGAGGAAAGGTGTTTAGCCCCGTACCATCTGTACCGGTCACATTCCGGTAATAAATTCAATATCTATTAATATGTATCTATTTTATATTTATGCCTATTATCATTGTTGGCATTTAATTGTAAATGCATGACGGGAGAAGGCTGTGATCAATTGTAAAAACTTGTGCCCAATCCCTTGTTCAATTTTGTTGGCAACAAATATGTTTAAAGCTAAATAAATTTAAATTCTGAATATTGGCAAGTGTGCAATTAATTTCTGATGATGAATAATTACTGTTAAATAAGTTTGAATACAGACTTAGAAATCATATTACTTGTTTTCATAGTGCGGTAAGAAGTTGCACTTGCTGGACGGCCCCTCTCTGGGGGCCCCTTTGGAAACCGTTTCATCTCCGCTCAGACCACTTGTGTTTACTGCCTAGTCAGGTGCATTATCGGCGCTATTTTTAGCAGGGCTTTCCCGAACAATTAAAATGGTCAAACTGG